TGTCAGCAAGTTAGGTTGCTGCCCAGGAGTGAGTCAGCCCCTCTGGACCTATCACCTGAGTCACGGGTGACTTGATGGCACAAAGCAGCAACAATAAGTGAACATTCGTGAGACTCTGATAACTTAGTGGTAAGGAGCTGTGCTGCCAATCCATCAGCAAGTGGTTTGAATCCACCAGCTCCTGCGTGGGTAAAAATGAGTAATCTTCTTTCAAGTGATTTACAGTCTCTGCCAACCTGCTGGGTCAGCTGTGAGTTGATTCTGACTGTGGGGTATATAATTAATATAGTGAACATTGGTTGAGGCACAGTGGTCACCATGGTGATATTTACTAGCATTAAATCTTAGAAGGTTAATCAAGGGGGTTTGGGGTTTTTTTTTTATTAATTTGAATGGAAGTTTACAGAGACTTAGGGTTGCTATTCATTCACTGTTGCACTTTTCTCCCTGCCTACCCCTTCTCCCCCAACTCACTCTTCTCCTTAAAAAGTAAAAGAAAAGCTCTTTCCTTGTTATGCAGTCCCTCCCCCCAAGTCCACTCCACTGTGCAGAAGAAGGCTAATCAAGTTTGCAATATAGTTATCACTAACACTAAGTCTAAAAGGTCCTAGGGGTCTAACTGGTATCATTTGCACTGCTAGCCAAAAAGTCAGTGGTTCTAATCTAGCAGTCACTTGGAAAAAGAAAGACAGTCTCCTTCTGTCAAGAGTCACAGCCTTACAAACTCAATGGATGATCACTAAGAATCGAAATCAACTCAAAGGCAATTGTTTTCATTTTTTATTATTACCACAAGTTTAGAGATGGCATCTTTCTAAACCTAGATAATGCACCAATGATGCAACCTAACATGGTCCTGGTCACTCTCTGAAAAACCAGAAAGACAGCATTAGACAGCGTTAGACAACTTCCAAAGTAACAATATGTGGAATTTCACTCACTCCGGAAAAGGACAAATGTGTTTCATAAATGTGATAAACCTGTTCTTTTTGACATACAAGCTGTCAGACTATACACAGGAATATTAACCTACTTCACAAAAGACAACTCAGATATGCCGCTTTCTGCAGTTTCTAAAGGAAAAAGGTGTACCTTACACACACGCACACACAAACTCTCGTGGTACACTAAAAATAAAAAGCTTTAAATGTTTAAAAAAGAGTAATTTTCTTTGAAAAGGGAAATTGAAAGAATTTGTTCAAATTTGTATTGGAATTTTGTAAATAAACTAGTAAAAAAAAAAAGAGAGTTTTGATGATTCAGCCCAAAGGTAGTTGTGCTACTAACCCAATGGCCACGCCTGTCTGGTGGGTGGAATCCACTAATTCGTGGGAGAAATATGAGCAATCTCCTCCCACGTGATTTGCCGCCTCAGAAATCCAATGAAGAGTCAGCTATGAGTTGGGTCTAACTCAATGGCAATGACTTAGACTTGGGTTTTTCGTTTGGTAATTTTTTATGAAATTAGGGAAGAAGAAAATGGTCTGCTTAAGAGCCACCAAGAAACATCAGTTCACGTATTTAAATGGAGGAATTGCTATTCTGAAAGCCCACTATAACACACACAGATGCCTGCACACACTTCACTGCCCCAACCACTAAGAGCATGTATGTTTTGACATTCAAAATCATAAAAAGTTGTCAAATGACTTCTGAGAGTCACTTACCTCTTCCACATTAAACATATCCCTTTATTGTTTTGTTTTGTTTTGTTTTGTTTTCTCTTTCGTGCATCAAACTGCCTCCTGAAATCCCAACCAGCACTAACTTGCTCAATTTTAAGAATTATTGACATGGAATACCCTTAACTCAATCATCTATGGTGGATCCCATAGATGGGTTCCAGGAGTGGCGACAAACGCAAGCTCTGCTGGCTTCTCTAAGAAGCAAGCAAGTCTGTCGGGAAGGTGATCTTATCTCACACGCTCCAGAGCTTGTGTACACAGAAAAATCCTTCAGTAGATACATTCCCGAAATGCTGAGCGCATGGAACTTGCTTGGGCTTCTAATCAGAATTTCTCCCACTTAGATAGACAATTTGGTAGAAGTGTCAGAGAGTCATTAAAGAGCTCTGCTCTGTTGCAATCCCAACATACTGTCTACAATAAAGCACACAGAATTTCACACATGGAGGGCTTTCAGGTTCAGGTCTAAAAGACAGAGACCATCAAAGAGCGAGTGAGGAAGAGAGCACAGACCCCCGGCCGATGCAAAAATGAAATATTCTAATGGAAAATATTTTTTTCATAGCAGCTCAGTTCCCTGGGGCAACCAAAGAGAGAACTTCTTCATTTCTATGAAATTGAGCAAAAACAAGGCTGCTCATCTTGGTGGTCAGCACAGAACTCATTTCACCAGATAATTAAACTGACTCACTCCATGCTTCCCTCTACTTGTGGGAGCAATTTACAGGCAGATGAATGCACTGGATATGGTTTCCAGGCTGGGCCCACAGAAGCACAAATAAAAGGAAATCAGCTAAATTCCTGCAGAAGAATTGGTTCATTAGGATGACTGTCTCCCTTCCCAATCATTTTATCTACAGCAATCCCCGCTTTAAGATAACAAATATTCACCTCCACCTTCATGGGGGGGTTGGTTTAAATGGAAGAATCATAGCTGCCTGTGGAGGGATGCTTTCCTGACATCGGGGTACAAGCTGAATAAAATAAAGCCCCTGCCGTCATGCAATTTTCTTTCCAGTGAAAGGTGAAAGAAAGTCGATGAATCAATAGAGATAGTCTCAGGTGGTGATCTGAACTAAGAAGAGCAAACTGGGATGAAGTCCCCAGAAAAAGGCAGTGTGAGGCCCGCGTCACACCACCAATAACATAATTGAGTAGAAATATGTCAGGCCTAGTGATTAATAACAACAAGGTGAACAAACATCTCAGTGACCCATGAGGTGCCTGAGAGGATGTTTAAAGGATTTGTTACAGGATCTGAGCTAGTATGTAGTCTCGGGGAGGACTTAGGCAGAGTTCAAGTCTGGATTGGATACCATCAGAAGTGGGTGTGCACCTGTCATCTTAGGGATTCTTGGTCAAAACGTGGAGGAATTAAGTTAGGCCATCCTCATTGTAGGTGGAGTAAGGACATTTCCAGGGAGTGAACAACATTCCTAATTTGGTATTCGGACAGTATCAGAATGTCATTGCTTTTGTTTTAAACAATCATGACCCTAAAGTGGCTTTGTCTACAGCTGGAGTTGTGTGAAATCACTTGTGTTCAAGACACCTGTCACACTTTCAGCACCGGCTCAGCCCCAGCGGTCAGGGGCTACTATTTCTCTTCCTGTGTGCAATCCTCATTCAACCCTGTGAACAGTTACTATGATAATAAATAATAAAACTAAGGCTCAGAAAAGGAAAAGGTCAAAGACAATTCAAAGCCAAATGATCTTCGCCAAGGGCCATGCTTTTACCCACTCCACACCCCACCCAGGCCCCTGGAGTTTTCCAGAGTCAAAGAAACAGGCTATTGGAAGCAGGAGTGGCATCCACGTCCCAAACAACGTGCCTCTGGAAACTCGATGAACTTTGATAAATGTCAATAGTTACAGAAAGGCTTCAGGCTTTTGGTTCAAGGGGTCGCTATGAGTCATGCTCGACTCAAAGGCAATCAACAACAAAAAGGGGCTTTAAGTAAGACAACAGCGAAACAACTCAACTCATCACCATTAAATAGAACAGAGTCATAGCTGACCCCCCAGAATAGAACAGACTCATAGCTGACTCCCCCAGAATAGAACAGACTCAGAGCTGGTTCCCCAGCAGATTTTCAGAGGCTGTAAATTGTACAGTCTTCCCATCTTTCTCCCACTAAGCAGCTAGTGGATTCGAACTCCCTGCTTTTGGGTTGGTAATGCAACTCTTTACCACAACACCATCAGGGGCAGGGTGAATGTAATGCCTGGAGTGGAGGCTGCAAATGTTAGATCCTGCCCCACGGGCTCTTCAGCAAGACAAGGTGTAAATGTCTGTTGTCATTGTTATGTGCCATAGAGTCACCTGCGACTCACAGCAACCCTATGTACAACAGCCCTAAATCCTGCTCTTTCCTGTGCCAATCTTATTGTCTCTGACACACCCACCCCCATTAACCCAGTCACTGAATCAATCCATCTCATCGAGGGTCTAACTCTCTTGGGCTGTCCCTCCACCCTCCCAAGCATGAGGTCCCTCTCCAAGGTCTGGTCTCTCCTTGCAACATGTCCAAAGTATGTCAGACAAAGCTTCAGAATCCTTGCCTCCAAATGTCCAGTCAATAATATTTTTCACGCCTGTGATAAGCGGTTTCCCATGTTATTAAAATTGAAAGGTTCATTTATAAGGATCTCCTCAATATCCATTTATCTCAGTCATTTATAGGAGCTAAACAAAGAAGAAGGGAGCTCTGGTGGCCTACTGGTAAGGAGTTGTGCTGCCAACTTAAAGGCACATGGTTCAAACCCACCAGCTGCTCTGTGGAAGAAAGATGGGCAATCTCCTCACCTGTGATTTACTGCCTCTGAACACCTGCAGGAGGGTCAGTCATGAGTCTCTTCCAACCGGATGGGATATTAACAACCACCACCAGAGTATTAAATGCCGGCACGAGCATGTGAAAACAAGAACAAGGTGATGTTCTCGTGTGTGAGAAGACAAGGGAATGAGTATTTATCTAAAAGCATCATCTCCCAGGGGACAAATAAAATCACTGTCTTTCCTCCGCCATTTTTCCCCTCACAGGTGGAGCTCTGCTGGCCTAGTGGTAAGAAGCTGCGCTGCCAACTCAAAGGTCAATGGTTCGAATCCACCAGTTGCTTCGCTGGATCCTTTGATGGGCAATCTCCTCCCCTGTGATTTATTGCCTCTGAATACAACGCTGGAGGGTCAGCTATGAGTCAGTTCTGCCTCAGGGGCACACAACAAAAACAACACTGAGATAAAGTAGAATGCACATTTTTATTTTCCAAATAAGCAGTGTGGACGGTGACCACCAGCAGAGGCAGGACTTACCAGGAGGTTCTCAGGCTTGAGGTCGCGGTGCACCACGCCCTTCGCGTGCAGGTGGACGAGCGCGCGGCACAGGTCGGTGACCAGGCGCGCAGCCTCGCGCTCCGTGAACTTGACCTTCTCGAGGATGGCGTCGAAGAGGTCGCCTCCGCGCACGTACTCCAGGATCAGGTACATCTCCGCCTCCGTCTCGTAGACCTCGTGCAGCTGCACGATGTTGGGGTGCGAGAGGCTCCGCACGATGGCGATCTCGCTGTCCACCATGTCCTCCTTGCCCTTGAGCTTGGCCTTGTCGATGATCTTCATGGCGTAGGCCTGCCCGCTGGCCCGGTGCCGACACTCCTTCACCACCGCAAAGTTGCCGTCGCCGATGACCCTGCCGGCCTCGTAGTGCTCGGCCACGTCTCCGGCCACAATGCCTGGGGGTCGTGCCCTCCGGCCAGGGGGGCGATCGGGCTTGCTCTCTTCCGTCCGGGTCTTGGGGTCCCTGTCCCCCCTTGCAGGTCCGTCTTGCAGCAGCCCTTTCTTCCCTGCAGGCCCACAGGTCTTCTTGTCCCTCCCATCCCTGTCCCTGTCCTCCACCGGGGGCCTCTGCAGCCTGTCGGCCTCGGCCCTGGGCTCGCTCAGCGGCCAGCCACCCTGCTTGCTCCGGCTGACCATCCGGGTGTCTCCTCGCCTCCCTTCCCTCGAGGCCTCATCAGGGGGCGGCTGTGTCTCCCCAGATTCCTTCCTGGGCCTGGCTGTCCCTGGGGCCTGCTCGTCTGCACTTTCTGCGTTTCTCTCCTCTTTCTTCTCCGCATGCTTGCTGGGCTTCCTGGGGTCCTGGGTGGGATTCCTGGGGCTGCCCCTGTGGCTATCACCCTGCCATAGGTCCTCCCCACCCAGGGGGTGCACCTCTGTGGACCTCCTGCAGCTCCTGGTCCTCACCAGCTTTTCGGGGTGGTAGGGCGAGGCCTTGGCCAGGTCCAGCTCACTGGCCCCGGCCGACAGCCTCTCCCTCTGCTGGGCCTCCCGTTCCCTCTTACACTTATCACACCGGATGATCTCCCCAGATGTTTTCTCTATCTCCACCCCCAGGTGCTTCTCTCCACTCGCAGGCTTCTCCTCCAAGGTGACTTCCCTGGGGGGCTTACAGCTGGATTCGGGCTCCCACTTCCCTCTCCCCCAGTTCTTCTGGGCCCTGGCCTTTTCCTCCAGTGCTGGCTCCTCGGAGGGCTTCCCAGGGTGTCTGGCCCCCACCTTGGCCCCAGCCTCACCACAGCTCTTGGTGCCCTCAGTCTCCCCACAGTGGTGACCCCCTTTCAGAGCCCTGCTGTAAAGCCTGCTCCTCAGCCTCGGGGACGGGGCCCTGCTGTGGGGGGTCAGTGTCAAGGCCCGGCCTTTGTTGGGGTACACTTCTTCGATGGCCATCTGAATGTTCTTCAGCGTCAGAGGCTCTTTGCCCACTGCTATGAAGGCATCCCCTTCTCGGAAGAAATCGGAGACGCTTTTGATTTCCCTGCCCTTGAGGTTGAAGAGCTTCCTCACCCGGTCATTCTTCCACCTGGGAAGGCCCAAGGCTTCCGAGATGTCGGCGACGAGCTGCTCGAAGGTCTGCACCGAGCGCCGGTTCAGAAGCAAGGTGACCTTCCTGAGGGGGTGCCCGCCCAGCTTCACCACCGTCACCACCCTGGGCTTCAGCGGGCTGCTCTCACCGGGGAGGGAGTGGAGGCCGTTCTGGGGGCTGAACACGGGCACCACGGAGCTGCGAGGCCCCAGCAATGGTTTCTCCAGCGTCCCTTGACCCGCAGGCAGCCAAGTGCCCTGCAGCTTCCGCTCAGTGATTCTTGAGCTTAAATACTTTAGAGAGTGGTCACAGAGTCCTCGATGTCCTGCAAAAGGAAAAGGTCAACAGGGTATATGAGTCAAGATCTGTGCAAAGAGATCTCTGGCCTTCACCAAGTAAGGAAGATGCACTGTCAACCCAAAGTCAAGCAGTTCAAATCCACCAGCTGCTCCGTGAAAGAAAGGCAGTCTGCTTGCATGTGACTTTCAGCCTCTGAAAACCTGCCTGAAGGCCAGCTATGAGTCAGTTCCAATTCGATGGTACATAACAACAGCTTTTCTAAAAATGACTTGTCGTTTATACTCGTGGGGTTTTTTTAAGCTTTTCTTAAAAAGATCTTTCACTCACTCACTGACATCGAGTTGGAACAGACTCAAAGCTGACTCTCGAGCAAGTCTTCGGTATATCACACACAAGGAGAATGCCCATCTTTCTCCCTGGGACCAGCTGGTGGATTCAAACTAGTCACCTTTTGATTGCCAAAGCAACTCTCTAACCAGCAGAGCTACAGACATTAAACTTTACGTCCAACCTAAGATTCCTCTGTAGGAGACTAGAATGGAATCAGCACTGGGCCCAAGGTGACCCCTGGGGCCTTCCAGAGGCCCCTGGATGGATGCCACTGTCCAGTCCTCTCTGGTTAGGCTGACCTTGTAAGCAAATCTACAACTGCCCCAGGGCCAGCCTACCTCCAAGGATCCAAGAAGGCAAAGTCCAAAGTCCAAGGTTTGCTACTGGGCAAGAGAACGAATCCATACGTGGTGGTTCTATTCTAGAACCACAGAACTCAAATCTTACTAAGTCTTGGTTCCCAACTAAGAACTTGGAACTTTCAGCCCGTTCAAGGTGAAGTTCTGTGTTAAACAGTTACAATCACAGGGTTTGAGGTTAACTTGGCTTTGAATCCTGACACAGGATTAGGTGACCCTGGGCAAATTATTTATATTCCAGGGTTGTTGTTAATAAAATAGAAATGATAATATAAACCAGACTGCTCCTTGGAGGCAAGGATTCTGACATGCTTTGGACATGTTGCAAGGAGGGACCGGTCCTTGGAGAAGGACATCATGCTTGGGAGGGTGGAGGGACAGCGCAGGAGAGGAAGACCCTCTATGAGGTGGATTGATTCAGTGACTGGGGTAACTGGGGTACCTGTGTCAGAGACAGTGAGGTTGGCACAGGACAGAGCAGGGCTTAGGACTGCTGTACACAGGATAGCTATGAGTCGCAGGCGACTTGATGGCACATAACAACAACAACAGAGTTTATGAGGTGGGGCGAAAAATAGTGAAAGTTCATTAAACAAAAGGCTTGATATACAGTAAGGACACAGTCCTTGCCACTTACTGGAAGGTGAAGGTTCAGCCTAAAAGATAAAGACCCTCAAAGAGACGGATTGACATGGTGACTGTAACAATGGGCTCCAAGGTGTCGGAGTTGGTAGATTGGCACAGGATTGGTCAGGTTTCAGAGCTGCTCTTTGTTCCCTGGGTCACTACGAGTCACAGCTGACTTGACAGCACATAACAACACCATCCCTTCTTTCTTAAGAAATACGGCTGTAGGAGCTCTGGTGGCCTAGTGGCAAGGAGCTGCAACTACAATCCCAGAGGCACACGGTTCGAATCCACCAGATGCTCTGCCAGGGAAGGAGGGACAATTTCCTCCTGTACCAGTCAGATCTGATTTGACGGTACACTCACACAAAAATAACAAAATAAAATAAATACAGCTGTATTAAAATGTCAGTTCAATAGAAATCTACTGAAAAAGCAGAAGTCCACTCATCAGAGTCCGACCCATCATCCCAAGAAGTCATGGACCCACATTACAGGGTGGGTATTTATCTTTTTTTAAATAAAAAAATTTTATTTTAATTATTATTTTAACAAAAGTTTGCAGAAAAGTTAGATTTTTCATTCATCCATTGTTGCACATTTTACCCCCTCTTCCTCTCTTCCCCCCTCCCCAAGTTGACTTTTTTCCTTTTCATTAGTTTATTTATAAAATAACTTGCTGGTCTGTCTGATCACATTAAGACAGACGGGGGGGAAAAAACAGACTAGGAAGAAGGCTTGGCCATCCACCTCTGAAACAGCAGGCCTCTGAAAACCCTATGCACAACAGAACACATTTAGCTAACAGAAACGGCAAAGGAGGTTGAGTTTTCAAGTAAATACAAAGGAAGAGGAACAGTTGTAAGCAGACACTGGTGAGACAGTGCGATTGGCACAGGCCAGAGCAGAGTTTAGGGCTGTTGTGCATAGGGTCACTATGAGTCGCAAGCGACTCGACGGCACATAACAACAACAACAACAAAACAAATTATTTTAATTTTCCTCACCCCCTCCATCAAATTGTTCAACCCAATGATTAATCCCCTCTTCTCCCTGCACGTCCACATCCCTCTGCTTCTAGCCTCTCCCACCCCTCCTGGATCCTTATACTCATTCTACATTAACTGTCTTATACAATATTTATCCTTGTGGGACTAAGTTAGTTCACTCAGCACAATGCTCTCTGGTCCCTCCCAAGTTAGGTCATAATTTACAAAGTTATTGCTCCTGGGTGCCATGATGGGTACTTCTTAAAACTCTGAGACTTTCCTTTATTGAAGGCTAAAATAAAAACGTTGAAGGAGGTTTCTGTTTAAGTATAGAAATGCGTTCCTTGTTAATGAAAGAATCCAAAGTCATATCGATGTTCTCAAAAAACTCATTGTCATCAGGTCAGAACCTACGCATAGCTGACCTTCCAGCTGGCTTCCACAGCATGGGAGGACATTGGCTCTCTTTCTACTGAGGAGTCACTGGTGGATCTGTGCCACCAGAAAACCACCACCTTTGGGTAAGCATCACCACTCCCACCAGTCCACACCACCAGTGAGGGAGTCCCTAAAGAAAAGATGGTGTGTTTCCTGGTCAATTGCACCCGGCCGTAGTAAAGCAGTTGTAGCAAAAATGTCTGTCCTTGCCAGAAAAGTTAGAAGGAAAACAACAGGATGGGTAACTCAGTTCAGCTGTGAGAGTGAGCTTGAATGATTACGGACGACAGCAGGAGACGACTTGGTGCCTCTGAACGGTAGAGCTGGAGAAGAGGGCTGAAGATTCGGTGGACTGTCAGAAGAACGAGCAGATATGTCCTGGAAAAAGTGAAGCCAGAGTGCTCCTTGAAGGCCAAGATGCTGAAGCTTCATCTCACATATTTGGGGCGTGTTGATAGGAGAGATTACCACTTGGAAAGGTAGAGGGATAGCAAAAGAAAGGAAGATCCTCAACCAAGTGGGTTGGCATGGTGATCGCATTAATAGGCTTGAGTGTGTCAGAGACAGTGAGGATAGCACAGGATAGGATAGTGTTCAGATCAGGTATTCACAGGGTTGCTGTGAGCAGTACTCAACTCAGCGATGCCTAACAACAACAGCATAGGATCCATATCCCACACATACGAACCTGCCCCTAATGCTTCTTTTGTCGTTGTTGTTGTTGATGATGATTGCCGTCGAGTTGAGCATGGCTTATAGCGACCCTGTGAACAAAAGGCTTGAAGCCTTTCTATAACTATCATCATTTATCAAAGTTCATGCTTCTTTTAAAAGTTGGAAATAATTCTGTCAAGATGTATTCTGCTTTGCTTGACTCAAATGCGATGAAACAGAATTCTTTCCAACTTTTTTCTTAAATTGGGAATAATTATGTTTAGTTTTTGAATCAAGCACAGCAGAAATGTCAGTTATGTTAGGATGGGCAGTTTGGCCCAGCATCTTTGCACAGAGTGGTTGTGAGTTTTTAATTACCAAGTACAATCTGTTCTGAGATGATTTCCAGCTCCACACAGGTGTCAGCTTAGATGACAAAGCAGCAGCTGGGAGTGAACTTCCCACATGTCAAAACTTTATAAGCTTAACGAACACATTTACTGTTAAACTGTTTCTTTGCAGACATTTGATATCAGTTCCCCCCCCCATAATCTCTCTGTTCCAAGGGAGAAAAATGAGCAATCTTGTCCCAAAGGACTTAAAACCTCTGAATATCCTGGGAGTGTCAGCTAGGAGTCTGTTCCGATTCAACAATGAATGAGTTTGAGTTTTAAATCTTCGATAAATTGACGCTTAGAGAAAGAGGACAGGAGAGAAAGAAGGGGAGAGGAATATTAAGGATACAAGAGGAAGTAGGCACAGCAATGCCAGTGTCTCTCCTACATTTGAAACATGGAGATAAAGGTCCAAAGGTTGACTGTCAAACACGCGCCAGGGAACCTGGGTTCTCACTCACTTCACTTGTATTACTTCAGACACTATAAGGTGATAGATAGATAGATAGATAGATAGATAGATAGATAGATAGATAGATAGATAGATAATAGATAGATAGACAGACAGATAGATAATAGATAGATGATTGATAAAAAGAGATGATAGATAATTGATAGATATAGATAGATAGATGATTGATAAAGAGAGATGATAGATAGATAGATGATAGATAAAGATAGATGATTGATAGATATGATAGATAGATGATTAGATAGATGATTGATAAAGAGAGATGAGATAGATAGATAGATAGATAGATAGATAGATAGATAGATAGATAGATGCTGTTATGTTCCATCGAGTCGCTTGCGATACATAAATATTTATTTTGGGGGGGCCTAAAAAATGGTGTTGTTAGGTGCTATTAAGTAGACTGCAATCTCATAGCGACCTTATGAAGAAGAGCTCTGGACCGTGCCCTGTCCAGTGCTATCCTCATGTCCACCCTGCTCAAGTTCATCATGTAGTCACCACGTCAGTCTGGCTCAGTGACAGTCTTCTCATGTTTACTCCCTCTGAGGACTCAGTATGCGGGCAGGAAAAGGGCCTGAGCATATACCCCGGGTGGGGCTTTTCCATGCAGATGTCAGGAGAAGCTGGAGAGGCTCAGGGTTCAATCACAGACTGAGGTTGAGGAGGACAGAGGAAAGCAGAGAGGTATCGGGAGTCAGATCAATGTGAAGACAGTAAGTAAAAGAATGAGTCGCCGAGAATGTCCAAAGGACAGGGCT